AAAAGTACAATAAATCAGATTTTATGCTTAATTAGGTAACTTGCTGAGTTGGATCCTAGTCATGGGTTTTTACTTATACAAATTGGGTATTATTTATAGGAACAAAAAGTGAAGGGTTTTAGATATGGCAAATTGAATTTAAAGGGTGTAAGCCAAATTTACTAAAAATTTATTCGTGTTTTTCTGGTATAATTTTCAATATTTCTTTGAAATTAGGACAAATTAAACTGAAATTTTTTTCCTTTTGGAAAATTAATTGTGCCAATTTAATCGTCTTTAAATTGTACATTGTTAGGACTCGAGATCCCACTTTGGAAAAATAGCATATTTTAGGGTTTAAGATCCCATCCTTACAAATCAGTTTATAAGGGCAACCTCTACCCATAGAGCCCAAGTTTCACCATGCAACTCACGAAAGTGGCAACGTATTGGCTGGATTAAGATGATAAGTATGATGCATGACATGATATGTAGTCATTGAATACTGTTGGATTAGTGAAGCTGCTCAAAGGAAGGAAAAGGCTATCACCGCGCCAGTGTCAATAGAGTGGGACGACAAGAGCCTGGTGGAATGCTAGGACTTCAGATCACACATTGGAAAAATAGCATATCTTATACCTTAGGATGGTTTATGAGCTCTTGGACACCCTTCCTTACAAGCCGATTTTCAGGGGCAATTTCTACCCTAGGACTCTTTAACAGTTTCTTAGAAAATTGCTTGTATTATGTTGTATGTTTTGTATCTGGTCAATTTGATTGGACCACACGTTCAAACATGATTCTACTTGATAAACAATCTTGATTGATAACCTGGTGACTGGTGACATAACATGCGAGTGTCTGTTAAGAGAGCATGAGCATGGCTCATATATAGCTGCTTGTTGAAATCATATATAGTGGTTTGCTTAAGAAGGCTCCAGTAAACAGAAAATTTCTCTTAGTAATGTATTTTCCTCGAAACAAATAGACCAAAATATATTAATTGGCCAATGTAGTTATGCAAGTCCCAAATTTGTGGATCTTCTTACATGTCTAAGTTAGTGTTGTTGTTATGTTACGTTGTTAATTTTTGAACACGCTCAATTTTTAGCTTGTCTTGAGCATGTTGGATGTAAATGCGGGCCATAATTCATTGGTTTGATTAACTTTTTCATTCACAAATTTGTCTGGATAATGGTTCACAAAACTAATTGTGCCATTTGATTGACCTGAGTTTTCACGCGGGTCCTGGAGTGCCTGCCAAGGGCGCGAGATCTCGCCTTGGTTTTTTATTTATTTATTTATTTATGGGAAAGCTGGTGGCTGCCTATTTTTGCCCTGAAAAGAATGAAATATCAATTTTATATAAAGTATAGTTTTGTACAAAGATTATTGTTGCTCTAACTTTACGAAGTCTGGGTTCCATGAATCTTCAAAATGCTGGTATAATGCGTTGATGCGGAATTCTTGACTAGTCTAGCTGCAGTTGTTTTCTACTAATTTTTAGGCGGACTTGTAGGTTACAAAATTGTTGCTAAATCAATCCGAGACGTGAAGGAGTCCAATAAACAAGAAGTGGATGTTAAGGCATTGCAGGCTGATCTACACGGATTGCAGAAAGAGTTCAGCGAATACAAGAAACTCCATGAGCAAGGCCTGATAGATAAGCCAAGTGCAGATTTGAAGTCACCAAACACTGTCAACATTCATTCAGCTCTGAATCAGAAACCGGAAGATGTGATCAGAGTCTTTATGATGAAGGAGTTTATGGGCAGGCAATTCTTTGATGATCTAATGGTTCCTCCGGTTGCGCCTAGGAAGAAGTAGAAGGCAGTACCAGGTACCAGTGCATAAGATCATTGTTAATCATGATTTGACCTTGTTTAAAGCTTTGTGGTTAGGTCTTGACCTTGATTGCTCTGTGTAATCATTCTCTCGGGTGTATTAGGGAAGAAAGTGGTCTTTTGCATTGTCAAGACTCAAAACCATTGGCCTTGTTTGTAAATTGAGGGCAAAATGTAAAATGCCAAGTCTGGTTTAAGGACGGTTTTCATAAACTGAAGTTGACTGGTTTTGTATGGCTGTTATGTGCTATTGGAAATTACTTGCGACGTGACTATTCCTATGGAAGTGGATACCCAATGGCAAGCAATACTTTTGTACTTTCATAATCTGCTTATTCAGGGTTTAGGGAATGAAAGAATCTGGATTTCTGACCACATTCTCCATAGGGCCTCTCCACCAATTGTCAATTCTACTTTGGCTTGGATAACCGCAGAGGATGCTCTCAACCTCCCTAGTTGAATTTGGATCGGGAGATTTACTATAAAACCCACTATAGGAGCCCAAATTTGTGGATCTTCTTACATGTCTAAGTTAGTGTTGTTGTTATGTTACGTTGTTAATTTTTGAACACGCTCAATTTTTAGCTTGTCTTGAGCATGTTGGATGTAAATGCGGGCCATAATTCATTGGTTTGATTAACTTTTTCATTCACAAATTTGTCTGGATAATGGTTCACAAAACTAATTGTGCCATTTGATTGACCTGAGTTTTCACGCGGGTCCTGGAGTGCCTGCCAAGGGCGCGAGATCTCGCCTTGGTTTTTTATTTATTTATTTATTTATGGGAAAGCTGGTGGCTGCCTATTTTTGCCCTGAAAAGAATGAAATATCAATTTTATATAAAGTATAGTTTTGTACAAAGATTATTGTTGCTCTAACTTTACGAAGTCTGGGTTCCATGAATCTTCAAAATGCTGGTATAATGCGTTGATGCGGAATTCTTGACTAGTCTAGCTGCAGTTGTTTTCTACTAATTTTTAGGCGGACTTGTAGGTTACAAAATTGTTGCTAAATCAATCCGAGACGTGAAGGAGTCCAATAAACAAGAAGTGGATGTTAAGGCATTGCAGGCTGATCTACACGGATTGCAGAAAGAGTTCAGCGAATACAAGAAACTCCATGAGCAAGGCCTGATAGATAAGCCAAGTGCAGATTTGAAGTCACCAAACACTGTCAACATTCATTCAGCTCTGAATCAGAAACCGGAAGATGTGATCAGAGTCTTTATGATGAAGGAGTTTATGGGCAGGCAATTCTTTGATGATCTAATGGTTCCTCCGGTTGCGCCTAGGAAGAAGTAGAAGGCAGTACCAGGTACCAGTGCATAAGATCATTGTTAATCATGATTTGACCTTGTTTAAAGCTTTGTGGTTAGGTCTTGACCTTGATTGCTCTGTGTAATCATTCTCTCGGGTGTATTAGGGAAGAAAGTGGTCTTTTGCATTGTCAAGACTCAAAACCATTGGCCTTGTTTGTAAATTGAGGGCAAAATGTAAAATGCCAAGTCTGGTTTAAGGACGGTTTTCATAAACTGAAGTTGACTGGTTTTGTATGGCTGTTATGTGCTATTGGAAATTACTTGCGACGTGACTATTCCTATGGAAGTGGATACCCAATGGCAAGCAATACTTTTGTACTTTCATAATCTGCTTATTCAGGGTTTAGGGAATGAAAGAATCTGGATTTCTGACCACATTCTCCATAGGGCCTCTCCACCAATTGTCAATTCTACTTTGGCTTGGATAACCGCAGAGGATGCTCTCAACCTCCCTAGTTGAATTTGGATCGGGAGATTTACTATAAAACCCACTATAGGAGCCCAAATTATAAAAAAGCCCTATATGAAATGGACTTTAGAAACACACCCAAAGTCCATTTACAATATAACAAAAAGGCTTGTAACTTCTTTTAAATTACAAAACTGCCATTGATTTCTTTAAACAAATCCAACCCAAAAACCTGATAAAAAAATCCAAAACACTTAATGGGGCATCAAAGTAATTTAATAATTAAATTTAAATTTAATAGGGCCAGCTATCATTTTTTGGGCATTTTTTGGTATGTTTATAGAAATTAAATGGTGTAGGGTTTATTTATAGTTTTAATGCCAAGAATGGGTATTTGACTAAATATTTCTTTTTTTAAAAGGTCACAACACCTATTTTTTTCAAAGCGTAAATAGGCTATTTGACCCTTAAATTAGGCTTGAAATGATCATCTTATTCAGGCAAGTGACGTGCGAGGTGGGATTTGAATACATGACTCAGTTACAATATAACATGAATAACCTTAACATATGACCCAACTCCTATATAATGATTTGTACAATATCACTTGTTAAAAAAAATAAAAATAAATCGTATTTTTATTTATTTAAAAACAAAACGTTTCAAAATTAACTCAATATTTCTTTTCCCATTGTTGCTGCTAATTTATCCTTCTTTGTAACTCTAACCCTCTGTTTGGATGAAGAAATTGAAAATTACATAGAATTCTAACAGTTAAGACAATCTTCTTCATGGTAGCAGTTTCCATCTACCAAGTGAACACGGTATACTTTTTCGGAAGCCTGACTTGGAGTGATGGGATACATGCTGTGACAAGTCCCATATCAATGAGAACATAGATCATACAATCATGTACTGATGACAATTGAAAATAGATCATACTCATCCAGTAAAATTGACTACATACTAATAAGCGCATTTCTCCGGAGACAATGTCTGCCTCCCTTCTCTTTTGTAAGCATAATTTTGTTAGTCATTTAATGCACAGTTGAAAAGAATATATGAGAGTCTGCTTGATGAACAAGGAAAGTAGACAAGGGATTTGATTCTCATTTGTGAGTGCACTGAAGAACAGAGAACCAGGTGCCTTGGTGGGAAAATTGATATGGCATCATTTTCTTTGCAGGTTAAAAAATATATTAAAAGGCACATCAGATGAATAAAAGATGAAAAATATTCATGCTTTTATGCTGGTCCTAAAATATTATGCTTGGCCATGGCTTACATATCACACCAAGCTTTTGTACCCTACTGATCAAGTTGACAATACTAAATGATGGGGAAGTACATAAAGCAAAATATTCAGAGTTTTGAGGAAGAACTTTCTACCCAAAATGATGTCCTCACATGAATTGAGAGAGAAAAAAGGATTTTCGACTTTTCACATGTCCATTAGGACCATTAGATTATAATTTACAGATGCTGGGATGGCTGGCTTTTTAAAGTTTACACAATACCTGTAGAAAATCTCCGGAGTTTTCTTCTAGTTTTTTGACGGATTCCAATAGGAGATGCAACTAGACATGTGCAAGAAAAAAACTACTCTCTTGAGCTAGAAGACCTTGGAGTTGCCGGTGAAGGCCGAAGGGATGAGCCGCGAGTCAAGCAGCTTGAGAATTCCATCGCAGATTGGTCTCTTGATCTTGGATCGATGATCGCAGATCATGGAAAAGTGGTTGTTGTGATGGTGTGAGGGAGAAAGAGAGAGAGAGAGAGAGGGGGGGAAAGAGAGAGAGAGAGAGAGAGAGAGAGAGAGAGAGAGATTTGATCTAATCAACAAAAAGGGAAATCAACGAATTTGGGTTAGGCTTTTAAACCAAAAGGGTATAATTATCTTTTTAGTGATTAATGTAAGGTGAGCCAACAAATCTGGGCCTGTTCTTTAGCCAAATTCAAAACAAAATTCAATTCATGGGTATTAAAACCAAAACAGAAATATTGTTTGTCTCAGATACGAATTACTAAGGATAATTATGTATAATATCTAATGCGCATTGAACTTTCCTACAAAAAAGAAAAAGAAAAAAAGCGTGCAAACAATGCGGGGAGGTTTTGGATGGGTGATTCGGGACTTTATAGGTTGGATGATGCAAGCGGGTGGTCAATGAGATATGCTTTATGGGTCGACTCTCATGACAGAGATGGACGCTATAAGGGCAGTTATGTTTGCTTATCGACAAGGGGGTTTCTTTCGGGTGGTGGTGGAGTATGATTCCAAAGTTGCCATTGTCACATTCCGGGATCGACTCCGTCGTAGCACGATATTGTCCATTTTTAGCCCCTTCTCTGCCTTCACGGTTTCATTTTTGGGAACTCATGAGCAACTTCGTAGTGGGTCACCGATCTTGGGATTGCTCTAGCCCTAACTCGCTTAACTTCGAAGTTCCCATGACTCCGAAGCCAGTGAGCTCCCAAAAAGTCTCGTGCTAGATGGAGGCGGATATGTACAAATAAGGCACATCACTCTCTCTCCGTTGGTCGATGTGGGATATTACAGCCATCAAGATGGTGAAGGGGGAGATGGCGGTGGCTGTGGAGGTAGATAGTATTCTCTTCAACATCCAGATTGCGATTCGAGAATTCCAGGAAGTAATTTTTAGTTTAGCACCTCGTAGCTGCAACAAAGCTGCTCATGAGGTTGCAACTTTTGTGTGTAGGGTAGGTGGTAGTTACTATTGGGATTTTGTTCCTCCAGATTGGTTGTTTGATACCTTAGTTGGAGATGCTAATGTTCGTGATTACCTTTAATAAAAGTATTTGATTCTTGGAATTTTTTTTTTTTTTAATACCTTTAATAAAAGTATTTGATTTTTGGAGGGAAAAAAAGAAAAGAAAAGAAGGAACTATGTACCCTGTCACCTCACTTTTTTAAAGTTCAAACTAGTTTTTTCTTTTAAAAGAAAAAATTTGCACCAAATCTTCACTTGAGCTATGATCTACTGAGAAAAATGGGGATATGGGATTTCATTTTCGAGACGACTTCAAATCCAACGGCCGAGAAGAACTGGTGCTTTACACCCGATTTCCTAAAGGACGTGTGTTTTCCACCGCTTACGATTATGGGTCAGCCACCGTTAGCACCGTCAGGGGTAACTTGGACCACTACCGTTAGGACGAGGAAGCCCGGTCCAAGATCCTCCAGTTGGTCAAGATCATCGTTACACATGCCGCCATCGAGGGCCTCAAAACCATCCCAGGTTTAGTTACTTCCTCGTATCTCTTGTTACATTACTTTTAGTTAAAAAAATAAAAAATTATTCGTGTTTTTCTGGTATAATTTTCATTATTTTCTTTTAAATTAGGTTACAATATTGTTAATAAGTCAATCAAAGACATGAAGGTCTCCGATAAACAAAAAGTGGTTTTGGAGGCATTGCAGGCTGAGGTACGCAGATTGGATAAAGAACTCAGCAAATACAGGAAACTCCATGAGCAAGTCCCGAAAGATCAGCCAATGGCTGGATTCCTTATTGGCTTTCCTAAGCAGGAAATAATTAAATGTCCTATTCATTTCTGTTAAGATGTCTTCATCATTTATTTTTATTTCTATTAATCTTGGTAATCAAATTTGTATGATTGGTTAACAGCATAATTTAAGATAATCACTTTTGAACTCGGATGTCGAGTGGCAAAAATTTCCATCGAGGCGGGTTCTTATCTAGTCTCTGACTTTAATGGGGAAATTTCGGGGGGAAATTGGGGGCAGGTATGGAGATCCCCGAACTTTAAAAATCCCCGATTAAAAACAGGTATTGAATAGTATTGTTATCCTCATTCCCGAGCCCGCCTCAATAAATAATATATTTATAACATAATATAATAAGTTAATATAGAAAAAATATAACAATAAAAAAACAAGTAGATGTTTTTTTCGATGAAAAAAAGTTTAGGGGAAGGGAGGGGAGGCTACCCATCCAAGGGCTAGGGCGTGCTAAGGTTTCTTTGACGACTTATATAGGAGGTCTTAGCTTCTGTTTTTGGTTTTTATAGATTACCCACCAAGAGGAATTGTTGGCAGCGGGACTCAAACCTATACCTGGATAACGAAGACAACGATCCTTACCAACTCAACCAACCATCGTTGATAAGAAGGAGATGTTCTTTGTCTCCCAATCTTATCTTCAATTGAAACTTGATACATGTGGACACACACTCGCCGTTTTCCAGTACTCCCTTTCTTTCTTGGTATCCAACTAATATATATATATATATATATATAGTGGTTTGTATTTCTTCAATGACTTTAATAATAAAATAGCACTCAAGAATGAAAGAAAATAATTATAGCAGCTAGTTGAAATCCATATGCTTATTATTGTTGTAGTTAGTTTCTGGAAGCAATTTTTTTCTTAATTCATTATGGAGATTATGGCGGGGAGAAAGATATGATTTATGTTTTTGGCCACCTATGCAATTATGGTTTAGTTAAAAAAATTGAAAACAAAAGCTTTCTTTTAGGAATATAACACCCGACACACATACATATTAACAATTAGTCCTAACTAATTTAGATTTAAGAAGATTTCATTTTTTAAATGGCAAAGAAAATTGGAGTTGAGGTGGGTTTGGGAGACCATCTTCGACGAGGACGGGAAAGGGAATTTCTGCGAAAATTCTTATGGGGATGAAAGCAGGGGCAAGGATGGTATTGTCATATTCGGCCTCAAACCAGTCTGTTGTCATCTCTAGTCCCCAAAAAAAAAACCAATTTAATTACTCACTGCACCCACAAAAATTAAATCTCTTTTGTCTTTTTTGGAATCAATTGAGATAGGTAAATCACGAAGACTCTCCAATAAAACCGTATATACAATGTAGTAAATTCTGATCTTTACCATCGCAAAAACACCCAAATTTAGAAACAAAAGTAATTTGTAAAATAATTTACACCCCTCTTTACATATTCGGAGTTCATAGGGAAAAAACCAAATTGACATGGTATCGGCTAAAATGCCTAATTTGAAATAAAACGTGCGTTTTGCTGGAAACTAATAACGACAATGCGTTTAGTTAAAATCGATCCGCAGGGGAGCACAACACAGTGTTCCCTCTCTCAATTACTTCGTCGTTGCCGCTGTGTTGGCGAACAACGGGAACCTGTAACTGTAAGTTTCTGTCAGCTCCTTCCTTCGTTTCGTTGTTTTAGGGTTAGGCTTAGCGTCTCTTTCTATTTGTTGTTCTACAGTGAAATTGGGGGTTTACAATTCACTTCTGTCCCAAACCCTAGATTGATTACCCAATACTTGCAATTGTTTTTCTTTCTTGAAAATGGATTCAATTGATCGTTCTAAGGGCATGAGCACGCTTGACGCGACCATGGAAGATGCTGCGGTGCCCGACCTAAAGCACCGTGGAAGAAAATGGGGCCTGTAGAGAAGGAGGCATCTGTGCACGGAGAAATGAAGAGGATGCAGAAGCTGCCTGCAAACGGTACTTATGTCACTCATCGGTTGCGGGTTCTCAACAAAATTCTGCAGCTTTTGTCCATTCAGGTACACAAAAATTGGATTTTTATTTGCTATATAAAGCATGGTTTAGCTATAAACCTTAGATTGCTCATAATATGCAATGGTTTTGTTGCTTGAGTGAATTATAATCTATTGGTATTGGAGACCCACAAGATAAAGTTGTTTGATTTTGCAGTTTTGTTTTTGTTAATTACCAGTTTGCTCTGCTGTGATGTAGAGCATGATATTCTGTGTTTTGTGTATGATTCTGATTAGAAATAGAAGAGAAATGAATTTAATACCAGTATTTGACACTATATTGATGTTCCTCTTGCTCCTTTGTATATCAGAGAACTGCATCACAAGAACAGGAGTTGGAGTTGCTTTTTGCTGGGCTTTCTCTGTGAACCCAACCAACCTTTTTCAGGCAGTGGTCAGTTCCAGTTAAAATTTTATTTTGTAGAGTTAGATATATGTAACTACTATTTTAGTGCTCTGTTTCAACCGGCTGACAGATAGTTTAATTATTTGTTGTGTTTGATCTATGTATATACTGTTAAAGCATGAAACAAAATAGCTCATGGTATAGGAAAGGGTGTGAATATCTTTTACTGGAAGTTTTGGAGCCACACATTCAATCTGGATTTTCAAAGAAAAACTTGATCGATATAAGGAGCTTAATTTCAGATAAATGATGACATAATCATGCATTCATTATGGGATTCCTAGCTGGAGTTATTTTCACTCAAGTGCTTTTATATTAGTCCTATTTTTAATAGGATTAGATTTTATCCCTTAAAGATTATTTTCCAATTTGGACCTTATTTTGGTTTAAAATTAAAATATCATTTTTATCTCAAACTTGGTAAGCATGTCCTATTTGTTTCATTGTTTTCATCTTGCTGTATATTATTGTTTCCTTTTATAAGGAGATGGGATTGGAAGGTATTTGAATAGCATGCATAAAGCTGGCACAATTGATGGAATCAAATCTGTTTTATGCAATAATTGATCTCTTAGGCTTTAAGTATTCCCTTTGAATAAGGAGAAGGTGTCTGTATAAAGAGGGTGTGATTTCTTCGTTTTTAAGATAGCCTTCCCATATTTTGTTTGAGCATTTAAAATTCCTAAGAAAGCTGCTGTGCATATATTTGAGATAAATCATCAAGTGTTCTATATTTACTTGGTGATTTATCAAACACTTTAATGATTCATATTGCATTCATTTGCATTGTTCGATGACTCATACGGTTGAGGGCACCAAGACCGTATTGACGGTTTTTTTCTTACGAACTTGAAGCAATCGTGACCAGTATTGCCTTCAACATAAGGAGTGTTGAAAGATCATCTTGTGCCAGAGGTTGAGTTATGAAGAAGTCAGTAAACATTATCTAGAATGTGTCTAGGATAAGTGTGTGATTACTTCTTGTAATCATTGTTTTATATTGGATTTGTATTGGACTGAGGAATCTCGTGGGGTTTTACTATGTAAAATAATTATCTGCGTATTCTTTTATTTTATGCTCAGCACGTTTCAGGATTGATAAGCCGTATCTATCCTGCTATCAAAGTTTATTTTTTGTTTATTGATTATAATTTTAAATTGGTCTATTCACCCCCCTCTAGGCATTCTTAACAATCCTACAGGTAATTTCAATCCTCCTTCATAACTTTTAACCCTCCGTTTGGATGAAAAAATTGAAAATTACATAGAATTCTAAAATGAAGGAATTTATATTTCTATCATTTTAATTTTTGACAATTAAGTGTTTGAATTTATGTATGTCGAATTTTGTAGATAACATTATGAAAATTGTGAAATGACGCCTATTTCAGTGGAAATTAACCCTGGGAATCTAATGCCCTAATTTTCACGATTTTTTCCGCACGTCATTTAATAAATTTCACGCTTAAATTGCCAAACAAGGAAATTGTTTAGCTAAATTTTGAGTTATTTTTCCTAAATAAAGGGTTTAGGGAAAAAGAAAAAGAACAGAAAAAGAAAAAAAGCGCGCATTGAACTTTCCTCGAAAAAGAGATAAAGAAAAAAAGCACGTTGAACCCCTCACCCCACTATTTTGAAGTTTGAACTAGCTTTTTCTTATCACCAGAAAAAAGAAAAAAAAAAGGAACTATGTACACTGTCACCTCACTTTTTTAAAGTTTGAACCAGCTTTTTCTTTTAAAAGAAGAAATTTGCACCAAATCTTCACTTGAGCTTTGATCTACTGAGAAAAATGGGGATATGGGATTTCATTTCCGGAACAACCAATTCACTGAAACGCAACGCTCCGGATCTAACGGCTGTGAAGAACTGGTGCCCCACACCTGGTTCCCTCAAACGAATCGCACCAGATGTAACGACTGCGAAGAACGTGTGCTCCACCGCTTACAGTTATGGGTCAGCCACTGTTACCCATATCAACAGCGTCGTCAGGGGTAACATGAACCACTACCTTCAGGACGAGGAAGCCCGGTCCAAGATCCTCCAGTTGGGCAAGAGCATCGTTACACACGCTGCCATCGAGGGCCTCAAAACCATCCCAGGTTTAGTTACTTCCTCGTATCACTTGTTACATTATTTTTATTTAAAAAAAGAAAATATATTCGTGTTTTTCTGGTATAATTTTCATTATTTTCTTTGAAATTAGGTTACAATATTGTTAACAATTCAATCAAAGACATGAAGGACACCGATAAACAAAAAGTGGATGTGGAGGCATTGCAGGCTGATGTACGCAGATTGTATAAAGAACTCAGCAAATACAGGAAACTCCATGAGCAAGTCCCGATAGATCAACCAATTCCAGATTGGCCTTGTTTGTAAATTGAGTGCAAAATGTAAGCTGCCGAGTCTGGTTTAAGGAAGGTTTTCATAAACTGAAGTTAACTGGTTTTGCATGGCTGTTCTGTTATGTGCTGTTGGAAATTACTTGCGACGTGACTATTCCTATGAATGATTACTTTCATATACCCAATGGCAAGCAATACTTTTGTACTTTCATAGTCTACTTATTCAGGGTTTAGGGAATGAAAGAATCTGGATTTCTGACCACATTCTCCATAGGGCCCTCTTATCTCTTCCTTCTCCGAGCTCGTAATTAATGAAAAAAATGTTGCAGAATAAAAAGTGGCTAGTCCATGGCCGGATGAATGATTGCAACAAGGAGATCGTATGAAAGTTGGGAGGGATGAGAGCTTAAAAAATGTTGGGCCTCTCCACCAATTGTCAGTTAATTTTGGCTTGGATCTCAACCTCCCTAGTTGAATATGGATCTGGAAGCGTAAAGGGGTAAGTTGCTCCAGAAAAAAATTACAATTTAAAATTTTCAATAAATGGTTTTTTTTTAAAAGGCCACAACGCCTATTTTTATTATTATTTTAATAAAAATCGTTTCACTTTCCAAAAGTTTATATATAAAGGATTTTTAATACATTTAAAATGTTAAAAAGAAAAAAGAAAAAAAAAAGGTTACGACTAGCTAACGTGAGCGCGCCTTTAATAGCAGTTTCTAGTTGCAAGCCCACGTGTGATTTTTCCTCCTGTTAGGCAGCACATGCGTTGGGCCCACAAAAAAAATTTGGCCCATGTTGCAACTAGGCTACACGTGATATGAGAGAATAGCTAAAGGGCTAAATGTAGCCATCTAAGGTCATCTTCAGCCATGGGCTATATTTCAAATATAGCTCTAAATTAATGCAAAACTCATCTCCAGCCATAGGCCAAATAAAATTTTGGCCAAATTTGGAGGGCTACATTTGGCCCTTTAGCCCTCCAACCGGGTCAAATGTAGCTCAGCTTTGGCCTAGGCCAAATTTATAGTGGGCCCCATTCATGTGCTTTTCAACAACCAATCATTAACGCACTCCCCACTCTCCTTTCTGAAAATAATAAAATATGAAGAATCCTAAAATATAGCCCTGCATGGCTGGAGATGGAAACATTTAGCCATGCACTATTCTTTAAAAAATTAATATTTTGGGAGGCTAAATTTTTAGCTCTGGACTACATTTAGCCATATGGCTGGAGATGGCCTAAATTTGGCCTAATTTTTTTTTTTTGCCCACAACTAGAGTTGGGTTTTACACATTTTGGAGGTTACATTTGGCCTATAGTCCATGGCTAGAGATGGCTTTAATGGCTTATCGTGGTTATAATAGGCTTTTTGACCTCTAAATTAGGCTTGAAATGTATGTTGTGCGAGGGGAATTCAAACACACGACTCTGTTGCAATATAACATGAATATTAACCTTAAACATGAGAGCATTTTTGCTCACAACTTTAACCCAAGATGTATCCTCACCATTCTCAACACTTACACATGTCCACTGACATAACTTTGATTCCATAATTAAACATTTGCTTTGTATTTATGGTTATGTCAATAAATACGTGTCAGGTATTAAGAAAAATGATAAAAATATACTTTATATTAAAGTGGTGAGCAAAAATATTTCCCCTTAAACATATGACCCAACTCCTATAATGATTCGTGCAATCTTGCATCTAAAAGTGGATCTCATAGAGATTAATTTTTTGTTATTTTTTTTGTTTTGTGTAACGGAAAAAAAACGTCTCAATAATTAATTCAGCATTTCTTTTCCAATGTTGCCGCTAATTTACCTACTTCAACTCTAAAGCGCTCCGCTCATTGAACTATGGACCTTCTCACACCACTATTTTGAAGTTTGAACTAGATTTTTTTTAATTACCAAAGATTAAAATAATAATAATAATTGAACAAACTCTTCACTTGAGCTTTGATCTTCTGAGAAAAATGGGGATATGGTTTACTGAAACGCAACGCTCTGGATCTAACAGTTGCGAAGAACTTGTTCTTCACAGCTTACGGTTATGGGTCAGCCACCGTTACCCATATCGATAACGCCGTCGGGGGTAACTTGAAACACTACCTTCAGGACGAGGAAGCCCGTTCCAGGATCCTCCAATCGGGCACGAACATCATTAAACACACAACCATCGAGGGCCTCAAAACCATCCCAGGTTTACTTCCTCATATCACTTGTTAAATTACTTTTAGTTTTTTTTTTCCAATAGTGTCGTGTTTTTTTGTTTGAAATTAGGACAAATTAAACTGAAATTTTCTTGCTTTTGGAAAATCCATGTAACAACCCGGTCCTTAATTAATATTTAATTATTAATTTATTCTAGTAAAAGACAATTATACCTTTAGAATATTTTAATAGTTTAAAAGTTGACTTTTTGACTGGAAAGGAATTTGGGAATTTCGATTGCACCGTTGCGTAGAGCGCGACGAAACGAGTTCGTAGACATGCGACACGCTCGATTTCGAGTTGTAACGAAGGAGAGAAGGTCTAAAAACAAAAAGGACGTAATGGGAATTCCAAAAATTGTTACTGTAGCTACAGTGCTTCTACAGTGCCGGTCTTCTTCCTTGCGATTTAACCAGATTTTTCTGGTGATATTTATTGGGCATTCCCTCTACTTCCATCCGGAGACACCATCTCAGCCCGGTTGCTACCGCAACCTTCACGAGATCTCTTCCCCTCGTCCTCCTCTACAAAACCCACCCAATACCCGATTCGATTCGATGACGATGAGCCCGATTCGAAGCTTGGAAAAGGGACGAGTTTGCCGGCGACTCCGACGGCCAAATCCTTCGAGTGAGGTATGGTTTCTCACCTACTTTTCGAGCTCTAGCTGCTGGTTGGGTAGGATTTTAGAGATTTCAAGCGTAGATCGTTCGATTTCTTAAGTTAGGTTTCAGCAGATTTTTGGGTCACTGTTTCGGCCACTTCCGGCCAGTTTTTAAGGTATGTCCAAGAACAAAAGTTGTTCCAAATGGGGTATTTTACCTCAGTTAGGAGTTTGGGAGGGCGGTTTGGAAATTTTCCGACCGTCAGAAATTGATCAAGCCATCCAAGCGCTGCCGGCGCGTGGGCATATTGGTAGAGACCACGTTCAGTTCTAGAATGATCCTTGGGTCGTCACGAGCATGTAGGAACTCGCGGACATCAATTTTGTTAACGTTTGAACCCCGAACGGATCTCGCATATTGTGTAATTTCGGGGTTCAATAGTTTCGAACCTTTAGATCGCAGTTAATATCAAGTATGTTGATCTAGGTAATTCCAGGATCGTATAGTATTTGACGGATTTTAAAACGGAGTCCCGGATACTCCAGGAATGTCCGCCCTAGAGCGAGGTTTATAATAAACAAACCAGCTACAGATCAGGAACTGATGAAAGAACTACGTGTGGCTTGATCCCTCAGAAAGGGTACGTAGGCAGCCTACAGTTATCAGGCGCAGCCACGAGTTAAAGTCTTTGAGTTTGTATTATTGTTTTCAGGGTATTTTGGTCATTTGTGACCCACAACCACCAGGTGTCAAAGTGAAATTTGGGTCGGGCCGTTTCAATTGGTATCAGAGCATTAGGTTAACTTCCTGTAGACACAGCATCCCATGTGCATCCTTATTTTCAGAATTGCTGGACAGTTATTTTATTATTTTACCTCATTGGCATGGGTGAGTAAACAGGTATCCAGAAGGGTTGGAAAAATTTGTTGAGGTTTTCATTTGAAAAACATATTATACATGTTATTATATATATATATATGTATGGTGAGAACCGAGGTTTAGAAAGATGAGCACAGATTTAAAATATGGATTTGTGAAATTAAAGGAGGCTTTGTGATAAGTTTTGATATATGATTTTCAAACCCACCATTGGGTACCCCCAGTTGCCTTGAGACAGTTTATGCCCCATGAGTATCGGAGACGCCTGAACCGTGTGGTGCGAGGATTGCGACTCAGGCTGACTAATGGTCCCCTGAGACCTGCGAGGAATGCGGCTCGGATGGACTTGGTGTCTCGGGGACCCGCGAGGATTGCGGCTCAGATTGAAGTGTTATCTCTGAGACCTGCGAGGAATGCGACTCGGTTAACTTTATGTTTGCTACCCTGAGATTTTCTTGTCTTTCTTGAATGATAAAGAGAAAAAAAAAATTGGGTCAAAAGAAAATGCCATTTTGGAGTTTAAACGACCTGACCCAAATTCCACTTTGGAATCCGGGTCGAATTTGTTTAAAACTGACACCTGGTGACTGTGGGTCGTAAAAGACCAAAATACCCTGATAAACAATAACACAAACTGGAGAACTCCAACTCGTGGCTGCACCTGCTAACTGTAGGCTGCCTACGTACTCTTTCTAAGGGATCAAGCCACACGTAGTTCTTTCTTCTGTTCCTGATCTGTAACTGAACTGTTTACTGTAAACATGGTTCTAGGGTTGGCATTCCTATAGTATCCGGGACTTTACGATTCGTCAAATACTATACGATCTTGGGAACGTTTAGATTAACCTATCTGAAAATGGTTACGATCCAACGGTGCAAAACTATTGAACCCGGAAATCACACAAGATGCGAGATCCGTTAGGAGTTCAAACATTTACCAAATTGAGATCCGTAAAATCTTACGAGCTCGTGACGACACAAGGATCATTCTAAAACTGAATGTGGTCTCCACCAATCTACCCACACGCCGGCAGCGCGTGGGTGGTTTGATTAATTTTCGGTGACCGAAAAAACTCCAAACCACCGGCCCAAACTCCTAACTTAGGTAAAACACCCCATTTGGAACAACTTTTGTTCTTGGACATACCCTAAAAAGTGCCCGGAACTAGCCGAAACTGTGCTTTCAAAATCGGTTGAAACCTAACTCGTAAATCGAGCTATCTACGCTCGAAATTTCTAAAACCCTACCCAACCAGCAGCTAGAGCATGAAAAATAGCTAGAAAACCATACCTCACTCGTTCATCGGATTGGGGGGCAGGACGCCGAAGAACGAAAGGTTGGAAATGCGGTCAAAAGCTGTTCAGCACCGCCTGTTTCATGGCAGATTCCGGCGACTATGGCGGCGGATCGAGGCGGTGAAGGGCTGGGACTAAAAGAGGAAAGTTTGGTGGTTCGTTTGACACTGGTCTTGCCTGAATCGGGGGTTGGAGCTGAGAGAAAAAAGCTCCCAAAGTCAGCTGCTCCAGCCCCTCTGAATCCAGAAATTTCTGGGTTTATAAAATCTGAACTTCGAAATATTTACGGTTT